TCTCTCTCTCTCTCTCTCTCTCTCTCTCTCTCTCTCTCTCTCTCTCTCTCTCTCTCTCTCTCTCTCTTCGCCTCCGATCCACGCGCGTTTCATTACATTCGCACAGCCTGTGACTGCCGATAAACCGATCGGACCGATCCACCGATTCTTTATCGCCGTTCGAAACGAGCGACGCTGGAACATCCTTCGACCAACACGAATATCAGGTAATCAAGATCACTTTTTTTTTTCTTCCGTGTCAAACACGTTGGCACGAACGTTAAATCTTAAGCGCGTAAACTCGTTGGTCGTAAATCGATGATGATGGTCGTGAATGATGGACGAAAATTCTACGGGAATTGAATGGAAACGCGGTGGCGGTTTTCATCCCTCGCCGGTTTCAACGACGTGACGAATGGATGGGTGCGGGTGTCGGTGCCGTTTCGATTCAACGTCGGAAACAGAAGTTAACGCCTCGTTTATGAATAAACGAGAGCCTCGAGAGCATACCGGTTAACGCAAAGCCTCGTCGTCGTCGTTCGTTCAAATCGAACGTTTATCTCTCCGTGAATGAATCCCCATTCTCCCTATAATCGAATAACAATTTGTATCCCGTTCAACGTTGCGATCCGCCCGATTGAAACACGTCTCTTTTATCGGCCCGTAAATCGTATTTCTTTCGCGTGACCGTTTATCGATATCGATAACAGCCGCGTCGCGAAATTTCCAGCCGGATTCGCCCTAGTTCGTATCGATCCTCGATAACCCGTTATCACCGGTTTCAGCGTGAAATACTTTCGACTGGAATCGGGATCGAGCTTCGACAGGATTCGACATCCTCCACTTCCTCCGGAAACTTTAACCTAACTCGTACTTTTCCATCCACGCGGAAACGCGGACAATTTTCTCCGCGTTACCGTTTCGATCGTAACACGGCTCCGGCTAAAAATACACAGTTAAAATAGTTGACATTGGTCAATCCGATCGAACACTCGCTTCGTTTCCGTTCGACCGCCTTTGCTAATCGTTTAATTTTCCACCATCGTCCGATTTAGTATCCCGTCGACCGACCCTCTTCTCGGTTTAAAAAAGGAAGAAAGGAACTGGAGGGGGAAGGGAGGGAGGGAGGGAGGGAGGGAAAAAAAAAGAAAAAAAAGGAAGAAAACGGATGGAAAGCAAACGGGGGAGGAAGGAGGGGAGGAGGGGAGAAGAAGAAGAAGAAGAAAAAAAGGAGCGAGATATACGTACGTTGAACGTACGTTAACGTTGCGACCATAAAATTATCCGATAGACCGGGCTCGGCCCGACGATGCGCGGCGGTTAAGCAGCGAATAATTATTGCGTTCCACACGGGACAGCGCGTAATAAACGTTATCAAGTTCATCGGTTTCAACGCACTCGTGCACCGCTTTCAACACACCGTTCCCACTTCTGCCGTCTGGTTTCACTGTATCGTCGAGACGAACCAACGCGTCGTTCGTGAAATGAAAACGAAATCTCTTCCTCCTCGATCTCCAATAATCGCGCGATCTATCTATCCCGATACACCGGTTACACTGTACACGACACGAACACGTCGAACACGATCCTCGACCAGAGAGGAGGAGAGAAATTGCAAAGTAGTAGAGGCGCGTTTCGATCGTGTTTGGACTGGCGCGTAAATCGCGCGACACGATGTCCTCCAAGTTCGTCAAACATAATTACGTCGCATCGCGGTGTTATCGGGGAAGCCGGAAGCACGGAGCGCGCGCCGCCAACCGGCGTTCGACGATTCCATCGAGCGCGTGTGTACGTGCGTATCCCTGTTTTCCGGAAATTAATTACTTCGCAAAATACCTCGCGCCCCAAATGGAATATAGTTTATCGTAATACCCTGCCCTACCTACCGTTCAAAGGCCACGATCATCGCTCCTCCAACGACCCGTCCAAGGGTGTTAACGGGTCCCCCCGCTAACGGGATTAAATGCCAATTAGGCTCTTAGCACCGCGAGATTGCGTGGCGTGCCCAACTTTTAATTCGATGAGCATCAACGATCGGGACCGGACCAGACGGAGAGAGCGAGCGAGCGAGAGAAGAGAGAGAGAGAGAGAGAGAGAGAATCCCTTCGAGGAAGAAAGAGAGGACACGCGATAATCGAACGAATCGAGCGCTCGTAACGAGTTACGATACGAGTTACGAGGCTGCACGAAGAGAGGCTACACGCACGCAGTTTTTCCGACAATCCGTTTTTCGATTCGCGTACGAATCGATCGATTACCGCGAGGAATTTCGCGGAAAACAGAACGAATTTCCTCTATCCCCTTTTTTATCCGTTCGAGGGAGGAGGAGAGGGTCGAACGATGACACGGTAGAGCAAAATCCCGTTTTCGCGCACGAGCTGAGAACGGCGTGAACCGGCGTGACGCAATTCCGCAAGACGAAGGGGGATGTAGGTTGCAGGGAGGGATCGAGTCTGTGCGGTAATGGAAATAGAATTTAAACTGGGAATCCCCCCGCTTATCGCGGGACGGAAATAAATAAGGACGCGATTTCGAGCGGATCTCGAGCGGGTTGAACCCCGGGTTACGGTAATAGTTGGAGGGAACGACGCGACGTTTCGAACCGTAACTCGGTCGAGAGGAGGGGGGATGAAAAAGTTGGTCGGGGCGATGGTGTTTACGCGGGACGGAATATCCCCGTTAAATTAACGGATGGAATCGTCGAGACGCACAATTTTCGCGCTCGTCAGGATAAAACGAAGCTGATTTCGAAGTTTCGAAGAACTGTGAGACCTGGCTGGGACCGCAGCTGTGAAAGTGCGCGTAATTTGTTTTACACGTCATTCCCACCATCTTCCCAACCAAAGATTCCTTTTCACCGCGTGAAGAACAAAGTACACTGGCAATTTCGCGCAATGTCGACAAAAAGTTCTACTTTACTCGACCATCCCACGATTTACGCTGCAGCTTCTCGTACCAATAATCAACGACTACTTACTCGCCCTCTCGTTACGCTTTCTCTTCTTCCCCGCGCTCTAATCTTTTCCCTCCTCTTCGAGCGTGGTAAAAGTAGTAGTTTTTGGAAAAGGAGTGTTCGGAGAAATGCTTGAACGCGCTCTTGGCAATTTCAACCACCTTGATTATATCCAATCCGGTCTGCTTTAATAATCCGTGCGAAAATAGAGGAATTCGAATAGATTGAGGGTGGAATCGGGGCTGCTTATAATACGAGCCGCGAGCAGGCCGCGACGAAAGAAGAAATACAAAACGTCGTCGGCTTAATCTTCATCCCTTAACGAGGCGGCCCAACGAGAATCCCCGAGAATCTGAAACATCGTTTAAGGAAATCTTGCCTTAAGTCGAGCACCGTACCGTTTAACGCAATTGGGGCTCATTTAAAAATCCCATCAAAAATGTACTTGGAAATATCTGCGTGCTCCCGAGTTCTCCCCTTCTCCCAACTCTCCTACGCTCTCTCTCTCTCCTTTCGCTGTCACTGTATCAACCCTCCTCCTCCTCGGGGCTATTTCCACGCTCCTCCACCCTTTCCCTTCGTCCTGACCATCCCCTTCCTCCTTTCGTTCCACCTTCCTTTCCTTCCACGTCTTCGACGCGCGATTTTTCTCCTCCTTCCTCCCTATCGTCCTTTTTTCTTCTTCCTCACTTTCTCCTCCTCGCCCTCCTCTTCTCCCATTTTACTTCCATTTTACTACCACCTCTCGAGCCGACGAACCTCCGAGACATCGAGGGAAGGAGAAGCGAGGGGTGGTGGGAGGGCCGGTGATTGGATTGTAAGCTCAATTTACACTACCTTCGGTTTCCAGTTCTCTTTTTTCCGAAACGGCGCAAGCCCGGGCCACGCCGTTCCACCGTTGTTTCAGAAAGTTTAGAGTTTCGAGCGCGGTCGCGAATATCGCGAGCAAGTACGACGAGACGATGGATAACAAAGCGCCGTTATAATGACCAGGGGACTACGAACAAACTTTCGACAAAGTGAAATTGACTGTACGCGATATTCCGTCGTATTACCTCTTTTACCTAAGCGGAACGCTTTTTCGTCGTGATTCACCTTCCTCTATCTCTCTCTCTCTTTTTATTTCAAACTCACCTCCACCGACCGGATCTTCTTTAATATTTCGGCCGAATTTGCCCGCGTTTCGGCCAACAGGAACGTTTCGAAAGTAAACCGTGCTCGCTAACGAATCCATTGTTCCCGCGATTTCTCTAATTCGCCTCCCGACTCGACACCCTCCCACCACCGCCACCTATCGGCGATTAGACCGATGCGAGTCCCTCTCGCGAGGAACGAACGAGGGCGAACGAACAAGGTGGAGGAGAGAAAGAAGGAAAATGGGAGAGTCACGCGCGCGTAGAAAAATTGGAAACCGATATGGAGGACTCGCGCGACATATACATGAATCGTTTCCACTCGTTGGAAATCAGACGCGACTGGAAAAACTGGGGTGAAAGGAATGAGATTCCGGAAGGACAGGGCGTGGGCCAACGTGTCAACTTTTTTCTTTTTTTTTCGTTTCCTTTCGACCGTTATTTCCGCGAATCGAATTCGCGTTCCATTAATTCGCAAGTTTTCGATTCCTCTTGCCTCTTGCTTCGCGACTTTCCTTGTTTTTTTTAATAAAACGCCCCAGACTTGGTCGTTACGAATACGAAACAAAGGGTTTGAGAATTGAAAATGAATCAGCTACGAGGAATTTTGTTTTTTTGAAATTTGGTGGTTAAAATGTTAAAATTATTGGATGGGGAACATTGATGGAACGACGGGGTTAGATGGGGATATCCAGCTTAGGAAGCGAATCGATTTTCAGAGTTCGAAAAAGTTGGGGGGAGCGCGACGCGTCGAGTTACGGAGACGATCGGTTATTAGAGTGCAATAACGAGGAAGAAAGTAAGAAAGGAAGGTGGAATAATAGCAGTAGGAAAGAAAGAGCAAACAGGCCGCGCCTGCATCTCGCGATCAATTAACGATACGATTCTTAAAATAACGAACTTGAAACTTCCACTCGCAATTCAGATCAATCATCCAGACAATCGTCGTCCACCGTATAACAATTTCCTTTCCAATTCGTTACGTTCGATCAAAGAACACCGAACCCGAATTCGTTTCTCGTTTCAAATTCAACTGGCCCCGATCGATTTCCTTAAATTCGTCTTCCAATCCTCCACGAACGATCCCTCCGTTCGAACGAGCTCTACATCAGCTTTTAGACACGTCGAAACGCTTGTTAAA